ACACTCATAACACATGACAGCTTGTCCAGAGCTACGTGAGCACAGACGGATCGGTCGCACCCCTCATTGAGAGCGTCAAGCGAACCGTGATCACGCAAGCGGGTGGCATTGAAAACGACGTCCTTGGCTTGAGCAGCATCATCACGTCACGCCCGCTTGGCAACCGGTATGCATCAACACGTGTCGCCTCGTCAGGAGTATAACAGGATCTCGGTCTTTTCATCAGGTACTTGGTCACGTCTGCGTGCCACACCGAGATCGAAGAGCTCTCGGGGCAGATCTCAGCCCTAGGACTCACCGGCTGGAGCCAAGGTACACTTACGATCTATGGATGATCGAGTACTAAGGACAACGGGTGTAGGGGCACACTCGAAATTGCCCATCGTGCCGGGCTGGAACTGCGGGCACACGGTCGCCAACGCCAACGAACTCATCGCAATTCAAGTCATTTTCGCCATCATGACGCTCTTGCTGCTCAGCGGTGACCTCCTCACCACATATCAAGGTACAAAGAACCGACATCCTATCATGTACTATATACAAGGGCTAGGGCTCAAGGGTGTTTTGGGCGGGAAGCCAGTGCTTACGTACGCGATTCTCTCGGGTCTCGAGCGGCGCAAGGTGCAGCTCTGCCCTACCCGCGGTTTCTAATCTACAGCTATGGGTGTAGCTGCTCCTTGTCTGCATCCTCGTCAACGCGATGCCCGGTCTACTCTACATGGACGTCTCGCGCATCTACTACTTTACAGACAACGGCTTCAAGATCTGGAGCCTCTCTGCTCTCATGGTCGCGAGCTTTGTCTCGTTCGGGTGGCTCCTTGCACTGAGGTACTTTCGACGGACGTTGTGCAGCTGCCATAGCATTTCCACATGTAGCATTCTCGATTGGCTATGCCGACCGCTTCGGTCGCTCCTTGGTCAAAAGTGCTTGACGTACTCGGCGCCGCTCTACATGTATGCGTCGATTGCCGCCATTTTCTACCTCCTCGCGGGCAACGACATCCTCTTCAAACAAGTTTACAATGCGTTTTATGCGGCCCCGCCGTTCATTGGTACCGCGTGGTCTATTTCATCGTATGCAATTATGCATATTATATCATTTTAGGTATGTTTATCAACAATGCGACATGGCCGAGCGGCGCATACGTCGCCGACGGCACCCCCACGGCGTTCACGGAGCTCCAAAGCGATATTTTAACACCGCTGTTCGTGGCGTGGGCCGCGTCCATTGGCTACGCAACGCTTCATCGCATCGCCATGGCGCGCCGGTGCGACGGTGTATCGTCGGCAGTGGCATCCACGTCGAGTAGGATCTTCCTGTCGACCAACTGGTGCAGCACCAACTCGTTCCTCTCGCACGTGACGCCCCCCAACGTCCTCACGACGCTCCCCCTCGAGCAGACGAATGCCATCAAGATTGGCAACCGCATGTTCTGTAAGCCGAGGTACTTGAAGGTCCAAGGTTCGTGCATGACGTTAGCTCTAGCACGATGGCGCTGCTCGGGTATGCCACGGTTCTCAATGCGCCCGAGTATGATGAGAGTCTTTTCGAGGACATAGTACTCACAGACTATGCGTAGCGCGACCGCCTCGATGAAGAAAGGCGACGAAGAGTTTACGATCGTGAGCATTTACAGCTTGGTGCTCGCGTTGTACGGCCCCAAATGGGTCTGCGTGACGCCCCGCGCCGTCGGCGACATTATTGCTAATACGTTCCGAGAGACCAAAGGACCGCTCGACAGGACCAAGTCGTACATCTACACGCGCGGCACCTGCATTTCCTAAGTAGATTTACATTTACAAACGTGTACAACATGCATCAACGATTCGCCATTATATTTTACACATTGTACACTCGCAATTTTTTTCTGTAAAGTGTTTTGCTTGAAATTTATGGAGTGATTCGTGCCGAGGAATTCTCGAGCGATCAAATAGGCTCAAGTACGGGGCGATATGACGCAAAAGTTTGGACGGTTGACCCGCAAAAAGCGCCAATTTGAAGGTTTTACCCAACGAAAAATTGTGGGTTTAGCGGTCCAGTATGTGAGGGGTAGGGTCTCGACGACTACGGCCGAGGTTTTAGGTCGATGCTCGAAGTTTTGGCGCGCTTGGGCGGCAGCGGCGCATCGCTCGGAGTTCCCAACGGTCGGCTCTCGGACGAGATGGACATGGAGGCGGACAGGTTGCGCTTCGATGCTTGTTCTTTTCGGATTTTCTTGGTCTGAAATTCGTGCGACGGCGGCAAGTTGGACAGAGGCGGCAAGCTACGCTTGGGGTGACGCGAGTGATTCATGGGATGGCTCCTCTACCTCTCTGGGTCGGTCGGCGCAAGCGGCTCGGACCGAAAGTACCGCGACTGGAGTGCTGCCGACGCGGTGAGACGCTTCTTTGGGTCCAGTTGCAGGAGGCTCGTCATAAGGTCCAGCGCCCCCGTGGGCAGCTCCCGTTGCGGGTACCGTACTTGCGTTTCACGCTTGAGAAAGTCGGCGAGGCGGTTGGGCAGCGCTGCGTCCGGTACAAACTTGTTTGTAAACGGCAAGCTCCCGTGGTCGGGCCAGTTGCTTGGCGTGGGCGACCCACAGACGTCAAAGATGCGGCGGATTTGCTCCATCTCGTTCTTGCCGGCAAAGAGCGGCCGGCCAATGTACAGCTCGGCAAACACACAACTAGATAGAGAATGAGGAGGATGCGAGCCTCCGGACGCAAGACAGTACCCCACACTCCACATGTCAACCATTGCGTCGTACGAGGTGGCGCCAAGGAGGAGCTCGGGGCTGCGATACCAGAGCGTGACTACCTACTCATGTGACTATGTTGAGGCTACAGATATGACTGAGAATGCAAACCTTGTTGGTAAAATTTTGCTCGCCACCGCCAATGGACCGCGCGAGGCCAAAGTCGGCGACCTTCAACACATGCTTGGGCGTCATGAGGAGGTTCGAGCACTTGATATCACTACATGACATCGGTATCAGCGACTTGGGCCATCGTACAGGGCGTACCGGTGGATGATGTCGACGGCGTGCATGGCGACCATGACTTCGCAGAGCTGCTTCATGATGCTCTTGATCTCCACGTCCGAGAAACTGCGTGCCATGAGATGCCGGAAGCATAGCGTGTACGTACGGGTACTGCCGGTCGATAAGGCCCGTGAGGTCGTGTTCGACGTACTCGAGCACGAGGTAGATGCATCCCGTGGTAAAGTCGGCGCCGGGCCCGCACTTTTCTACCAAGCGCATGAGACGACCAGAGGCAGAAGATCGCAGTGGGCACCGGCGAAATCGTCGTCGGGATCGTCGACCTCGTTGGTCACGATGACCTCTTTGAGGCCCACGAGGTTGCGGTGGCGGAGCGACTTGAGCACCTTGATCTCGCGGATCGAGGTCACGGGAAGACCTTGGACCTCGTTGAGGCTGCGGATCTTCTTAAGCGCGACCATGTCGCCCGTGTCCCGGTGGGCAGCGAGGTAGACCTGCCCGTATGTCCCGGCGCCAATGCACTCGATCTTCTCGTACACGTCGAGGCAGCCGTCGTCCCAGCCATGCTGCGGCAAGTTCAAGCTCATCGTCCACCAGCCCACTGCCGTATCCGAATGGTTGTCCGGTTTGCGATGGCTAAAAACACGCTCTTTAAACATCGCCGTATACTCTTTTGGCGCTGCCACGACACGATCGCAGCCTTAATAGCCTGGAATGGCATGGACTCTCCACCACATTAGCACGTATAACGTACAAACGGCTCGCATGACGAGGTACATCCTCAGGCTCAGCCATGCTGGCGCTAAAAAGGCGTTGGATTAGACAATGCAGAGGTATAGATAGGCTCGTGTCGACGACTGGCACGCACCGTTGCTCTCCAACTCTCTCCAAGGATGGAACGCTGCGAGGCGTATACTTAAACGTCTCCAAATAGTTTTAGATGGGAATAATTGTCTTTTGGGTTAGACATCTCTGCTATATTTGGCACCTTGTTCGTCGCTGGAACATGCCCCGCGTCGGCCCCGACATCAACCTCGGGCTCTGCGCCGAGGGCTCGGCGCCAGACGCGAGTGTTGCGGCGGCAGCTTTCAAGCGGTTGCAGCCCACGACGGTAAATGTGCTGCAGTGCCTAATCTCGAACGTCGTCACGTGTTCGATTGCGCTGCTCTCGCTCGTGACGTTGCTCGTCTTTCTCTCTCAAGTGCGCGTCTTGATCCTACCGACCTCCCGTCATGGACGCGGATTAGGGCATGTTTGAACGCGCGATTGTCTCCAAGAATACACAGACCGCCGACCAGTTTTGGGCGCCATATAGCAAGAGTTGTGTCGTCGACCGAGCCGGGTTTGTCGCAAACAGGTCTCTAGCCCTCTACTAGCATTTGTTTGGCTAATCATCGATTATGAGGACTAGTTGCTCGGCCGAGGTACAGAACACGACGCACACCAACGCGTGGACGGCCATTGAGCTCGTGCTTGCCCAGCAGTGGGCCGCTGAGCTCACCAAAGGTACTACGCGCCGTGATTCGGACCTTTTTTTCCCTTGCTTCCGACCTTGGGATGACAACCTGTCTAGCGCGCGAGCTGTATGTGACGACGTGCATCATTGGAGCCACTCCAAGTGTTGGGTGGGGCGACCTCCAATTTATCGCCGGGTAGACACCTTACACCATGACACCGAAATTTTCATTGGCAAATGGCTGTAGGTACGACGACTATCCCGAGTGCCTTCCGAGTGCTGGCGCCCAGAGCATTGCAGGCATGGCCATGCTCGAGACCACCGTGCGCTCTCAAGTTGTACGAATTTCGACAACGAAATGAAATGTATAGATCCGCGATACACACCCGGAAGGCCTGTACTTTTTGACGCTCTACTCGGATCTGAACCCTACGATGCAGGTGTCGATATTCCCATGACAATATTGTACCGATTCCAAGCGCATAGAAAGTACTGGCGTACGTCAACACGGATGGGACGACGGCGAAGCTCTTGAGCAGCCCACTGCGGACGCTGGTGACGCTGCATGGCCAGACCATCGCTGATGCGATTGGACAAAACTACATGATCCACTCGTACCCATTGGGTCCTCGGTATTGTAGCGCATGGGTTAATTGTCCAGTTGTTAGCACACATCTTGTGCGTAGCTACCAAGTGACGGCGTCGTGTCACACGGAAATGGAAGAGCTCAGTGCCTTCACGTCGTCGTTGCGAGGCTGGAGCCAAGGTAGATTCGCCCACACACAGCTCCAAACCGCAACCAAGTGCCAGGCAAATTTTCCCAGCGGCCCGTTGCACCGGGCTGGACGTGTGGTCATGTGGTGCAGAATGCACCTGAGCTCATCGTCCTGCAGCTTGTCGCGTTCGTTGCGGCTTGCCTTTTGCTCAGCGGCGACATTTACCTCACCTGCTACGGTACGTGGACCGATCTGAGGTGTTCTCTAGGCCTAGTGTGCGCGTAGGGCTGCACCGTGTGTACCATTCCAAACCTGTCACGATGACATACCAAATTCTCGACGGGTTGGAGCGACGCAAAGTACGGGTCATTGATACTGCGCTCTGGTACCATGACTGCAGTAGTGCCTGGCTCTCGTTGTTGTCATCAATGCGCTCCCGTCGCTCTTGTACTTGGACGTGGCGCGCATTTACTTCTTTACGCAAAAGGGCTATGTCATCTGGTGCCTTGCGGTGGCGATGCTGGCGGTCTTTGCCTCGTTCGCCCTCATGCTCGTGCTCAGGCAAGTGCCGTCATGCCGTGATAGCAAGGCATAAATGGGCTGTAGTTGCATCGAGATTCTTCCACTGCCGGCCGTGCTCCATACGGTGTGTCTCCCGTACAACGCATCGCGCTTCGTCTACACCTCTCTACTTGCGATCTTCCTGGCGTGCGCCGGGACCCGGTCGCTCTTTCAAACGACCTACAACGCCTTCTTTTCCGCCGAGCCCACCTTGGGTACTTGTTCTTAAGTGCGATCTCCGCGTGTTTGACTGTAAGTGTAGGACTGTGGCTGCGCAACACGACGTGGCCAAGCGGCGCCTACGTAGCAGAAGGCACACCCGTCGTCCTCACGTGGCTTCAGATCCCTCTGTGCGCGGCACTTTCGGCGGCTCTCGCCCTATCGCTTCTCACAACGCTGTTCGAGCGCCTCTACACGCGCAAAAGGTCATACATTCTCGCGTGTCATGTAGCTGACACGGTCTTCATCTAGTCTCTTGCTTTGCACCGACTGGTGCCTTCAAAACAGCTTTTTGGTGCTCGCAAATCCACCGACGCTCTTGACGGCGTTGCCGCTCGACGAACACGCTACCGTGCGCGTGCACGAGAACGTAGCTTGTCTTCCCTGGTGCGGTCCCCTGCGCATATGGCGTACTTGACGCAGCGCATTGAACTAGTGTGCTGACGCAGCTTGGGTATGTCACGGTGACGCGTCGCACGGCATCGTACGTCCAAATTGCTTGTGCCGCACGAATCGATTAGATCTGATAGTTGAATTTCTGTTGTAGCGATTCGATGGCCGGTCCAGCTGCTCGCAAGCCACCGAAAACGCTTGTCGTCATTAGCATTTACGCTCTCGTGCCCGCTCTTATGTGCTCGTGTCTCTTTTGGTTCCCGCCCCGCAAGTATGGTCATATTGTCGACGGCAAGTTCACTGCGACCCCCGACGCATACCTGGATCGGCAAGCGCGTTACGAGTACGAGGAAGCCTCCCACGTTCACTAAGTCGCCAAGCACACGAATAAACACAATCCATCATTTTTGCCTCCAAAATCATGGAAAAAATGGGATGCAAGTGCCATGTATCCCTGTGTTGCTTCCCTCCAAGGTGCCCCCGTCTTGCCATCGGCCAAGGTACATGAATGAGCACATGGTACTCAAATCGACGACGGCTTATAGATGACGATGCTCGCTTCACGCCACAGTGACTCCCATTCCATCGCTACTAAACAGATTGTGTCTGAAATATGAAAACTATAAAATGGATATTAGTACTACTCGTGGACACACTGGTAGTGTTTGGTACTAGTCTACGTGACGCAAGATCCGCGTTTGTGCACATACTCGCGCGTGCGGTCAAGTGTGGTTTTGCCTTTGGTAGGTTCGAACTGGTTGCCGCGAATGACGCCCGCGATGAGCACTGGCATGCGCCAACCACTGCGGAGAAGTGCGGGCAGCAGCGCGTAGATGCTCACCAAAACAAACGTCGTCTGTGGGCGCTTCATGGCAGCGTCCGGAGTCGGGTCCGCCTCCCTAACAAAGCAACAAGCTGAAGAGCAATTCTCAAGATCGATGTACGCTTCAGCGACGATGCCATAGCCCATGAGAGCCATCGTACTTGGCTTGCAAAAGAGTTTGGCGCCAATTTTGATAGCATTCGACTCTTCGAGTGGCAATGACGTGATATACTGCGGGCGTTTGGCGTAGCGTAAGAACGAGTTGGCTGTGCACCACTGTGTGTGAAGAAGCAATCTACAGCCATGCATGAGAAGGTTGCATCACCGTCGACACATGTCGACCCGCGGGAGCGCAGCCGGCGGTGTCCCATCGAGAGCAGCATCGAGGCACCCAAGGCAATCAAGATCGGGTAGGCAACCAGCGACGAGAGAAGAGTTGCGACGGCCGGTGTGCCTTCTGCCACGTACGCGCCACTGGGCCAGGTGGCCTGATTGACATACATTCCTACATCAGAGTGATGGTTAAAGATACGGCAATGTGGCACATACCGAGGTACGGCGGTGCGGCGTAAAATTGGTTGTACACCAATCGGAAGAGGTCCATGTCACAGAGTTTGAAGGCGACGCCCCCAATCGTGCAAAAGAGGAAAGCGGGGGCCGAGTAGCTGATGCAGTAATCCTGAATAATGCGCGGAGCCGGCAGCATGCCCACGAGCCTATCGGACGGTGATGAGTCGGTTCTAGAAGGTGCGAGAAGGTGCGAACGAGAGAATGAAAAGGCAACCAAATGCGACGCAGTTGCCGAGCATCGCGGCTGAGAGAGACCAAATCTTGAATCCGTTGGTCGTGAAAAAGTAGATCCGCGAGACGTCGAGATACAAAAGCGACGGGGCGGCGTTGAGCGCGATAAAGCTTAGTAGCACCTGCGCTCACAAGTGTTAAAGGACATAACTCGAATGTGGTGAACCTTGCGACGCTCGAGGCCAGAAAGGAGAGCATATGTTAGCACTGGCTTGTGGCGGAGAAGACCGCGCAGTCCTACGGCGGGCTTGAAACCTTATTTGTGAGAAAACCACAAACCGACCTTGCCACGTGACGTAAATGTCGCCGCCGAGGAGCGCGAGAGTCAGCACCGAAAGGCAGAGCTGCAGCGCAATCAGTGCCGTCGCGTTCTCGACTTGGTGCCCACAGTTCCAGCCCGGGCAGATCGCGTGCCCCGACGACTTGCCTATTGCGAACGACTACATTTGGGACTGCACTAGTCGCTTTCTGGTACCTTGGCTCCACCCAGGTAGCCCGAGATCGCTCACTTCTTCGATTTCCGTGTGGCAGTAGCCCACAACGTGGAACCTAACTTCCTCGTGAGAGCTAAATATTGGACGTAGAAGGCGCTACCAAGGGCCCAGCGGGTACGAGTTGATGATGTAGTCCGTGCCAAAGGCGTCCGCCAGCGCCACACCGTCTTGCGTAATGATTGTGCGTGCTGGGTCCTTCATGAGCTTGGCTTTCGAGCCGTCCGAGCTCACGTGGAGGTGCACCGTCTACGCATCCAAACATGATCATCATATGTCCGGTGTCATAACGACAACGTGTACATTCATCGCAGGGTCCAAGTCAGAGTAGAGCGTCATAAGGTAAACACCTTCCACAAACGCCTCTCGAATCTAATGACATATCAATAAACGTCCGACTAAATCGAGGTACACATACCGTGGTTTCGAGCATGGCCATCCCGGCGACCGGCTGCGCGCCGTTGGTCGGCAGGCATTCGGGAAATGCGTCATAACTACACAGTGGATAAGCACTCGCGTGCTGCGTCAGAACGGTAATTGTACCCTGCGACCAGCTGCAGGTTGGCCCAGCCAACGCTGGAGGTGCCACCAATGATGCACGTCGTAACACGCAGCGTCGGTGCTAGTCGACTCATAATGTCGATATGCTTGGTCTAGCCACACAGTACGTACATGCTTCCAGTTCGCGAGCCCACTGTTGCGCCAAGATGTGACCAACCGCCGTCCATACAGTGAGGCTCGTTGCATTGACTTCGTCCGCGCTGCAGCTACATCCGTTTCAGATGCAGTAACGCAAAATGTGATATCATCACCTCTCGGGCACAAAGCCCGATGCTGTGAGGAGGCAGCTCTGCCCAAAGGGGGCCCAAAAATATGTCTCGGTCTGGGCGTTGACGGAGACCACGAGCCGGTCAAACATGCCCTAGTTCACAACGGCGCGTCACATTAAATGCGTCCGCACTGTCATCGAGCCCACCTGAGATACGAGGACGGAGAGTGTCAAGAGCGAAAGAAGGATCAGACAGCCGGCCACCAAGTTGGAGCCGACACGAGCGTAGGCAGCAAGGTAGGACGCTTGGCTCTGGTCGTGCAACCTGCCCGACGCCGCGGCGCCATTGGTGATCGTCATCGTCGCCATATTCGAGCCACCCGCCGACTAGAGCCATAAAGCATTGAGATTGATGCAAACATGGTGCGCAACACGTACCGAGGGCGTCGCGCGGGGCTGCACCGCGCACCGCAGCATCTTGGCGACCATTGAAATCGTCGACTGCTCACGGCACCGGTCTGTATTGATTTGTTCTGTAAAACGTCCGGTGAAACCCCTGCAAAGTGACGTTGATATGCGATGATCAAGTGGCTAGTTCAACGGCGAAGCCCACAACGCAAGTCAACAACACACTCCTCGTGTCTCGACGATCGAGCATCGACACTAAGCGCGTCATGTGATAGCAAAGTCGCCGACGCCTTGTATGTTATGCATATTACGCAGACGGCCGCCGAGGCTTTTTGGCGCGACGCCTATCAGCCACATCGATCGTTGCCTTGGCTTTTCGTGTCGGTGGCTCCGGCTTGGGCGCGTGTGGCAGGCACGTCATGGACAAAATCTGGAGCTCCTGGCCTTTCTGCATTTCGCGCCCTGCAACGATGTAGCAACTCGGTTAATGATTTAGATAGCGTACCTTCGTCCAAGTAGAGGCGGAAGTTGAGGTTCTCGAGCTCGCGCAATTTGCTCTCGATGGCCTTTTGGACGCTGACGCCTATGGGACATTGGCGTCGAAGCGCCGGACACGGAGCATTGTACCGCCTCGAGTTCGAAGGCCAAAGTCTTGGGCCGGGCGCTGGCCAACGAGGAACGAATGCAGCTCGGCGAGGTCGCCGGTCAGCGGCACGGACGGTGCGATCGTCTACAGGCAGGTCGTCCTATGTTGCGCTGCGCATCGTGTACCTTGGGGTAGAACTCATGAAGGTCACCCCCTAGAAGATGGATCCATGAGCCTTCCGCAGTGACATGGGCGCTCATGGACGTACATGGCTGCGACGTAATCGAGTACGTCTCGTCGTCGCTCCCCGCTGTGTCCATCCCGCAAATTTCGAAACCAGTTTGAATCGTCCGGATATATTTGGGACAAACCGCTTATCCGGAAATTGGACGGGACAAACCCAAACGACTCACTTTCTCTCGGTATTAAATAGCATTAAAAAAGATTGCGGTGCAGTTGCCACGTGGAAGCGGAGATTGCCATCCATCAGAAATGTGCCGCGAGGAATTAGCTCTACCTGACGCGTGTCTGCATCGCACAACTTAACAAAAGCGGCAGGAATGTAATACCCTTCTTGAGAACATCACGTGTTTTAGGACTACGTCACGCGGGGCAACTTCTTGGTAGCGGGAAAGGTGGTACTTGGATTACTCTAGTATACTAGGAAATATTACATCCGCGGTGCCCGAATGCTACGCGCGAATGAGTCGGTAATAGCTAGCAAGCTACGCACAGCTCTGTAGATTGAAAAGTCGATAGAACTCTTATCTCCTGCTTGGGGTTTTGAAACTTGCGTCGAGTGAACATCGTGCGTGACGCGGACATTGTCGACAAGAAACCAAGACGATGTCCAGAGGTAGTAGCCTCGAGGGCATTCACATCATCCGGTTCCCGGTGACGCGGTTGTCCTCGGTGCGTCGAGGAATTCCACCGTCGACACGCTGCAGTCGGTTCCAACCTCTGTTATTTAATTTGTAACATGCCTTTTCACAGGTCCTCTGCCGTATCAGCCGCAAATGATTCGTTCTCAGAGAATTGGAGTATTTATACTCGGCAATTGTTGAACGCGCCGATGGTCCTACCGCGCCGCGCCTGCACGTACGCCGGTGGCTGCGACAAGGTCGACGCGGGCGGTGGTCTCTGCGTCGGCCATGGCGGCGGCAAGAAGTGTCGCCACGAAGGCTGCACCAACGGCTACCAGCGAGGCGGCTACTGCCGCAAGCACGGCGGCGGCTCGCGCTGCACTGTGCCCGAGTGCCACAAGGTCGACGCCGGTGGCGGCCTTTGCCGCGGCCATGGCGGTGGCAAGCGCTGCACCGAGCCCAACTGTCAAAAGGCCGACGTCGGTGGCGGCTACTGCACGATGCACGGCGGCGGGAAGCGCTGTGGCCATGCGGGCTGTGAGAAAAACTCCCAGGGCGGTGGCTTTTGCCGGGCCCACGGCGGTGGTAAGCGCTGCACCGAGCCCGACTGCACCAAGATGGGTCGTGGCGCGAACGGCAAGTGCCCTGACCACGGCGGTCCGGCCATGTGCCGAGCACCCAACTGCCGTCGCATTGCGCGCTGCCGCGACGGGTTTTGCATGGAGCATCAAAACGTACGTGAGCATTCCTCGTCATCACGGTGGCCACGACAGCGCTGCATGTAGGAAGCTGTCGTGCCTTCCGGGGACCAGTCGCTGACGCCATTGCTGCACCCGACGACGGCAGCATTCGCGCCGGTCGCCCATTTGGAGAACATTTTGTTTACGCCGGCGCTACCCAAGGTCTCAATGACGACGACAAATACGTCGGCGTCGTCTTATATTTATCGCCGCATGCTGCTGCAAATCCCGCACCACACCAACACCTGGCGCGACGACGTGTGCCTCGCTCTCCTGCGCAGCCTCCCGAGTGTCCGCAGTGCGCACATTCTCGGCTTCCGCTACGGCGTCTCGCGCCACAACTCGAGCGCGTGCTTCATCCTACGGGGGTCTATGACGTCGGTCGATGTCCATGGCCTTCTCGCGCCTCTCCAGTGCCCGTACGTCGTCTTGGAAGAAGGCCTTATTGACGATGTCATTCTGACGCTTGAATGGACCTTCCATGTCGATGGAATGATGTGCATGGGCAACTGCGGCACGACGGTCCTCAACGCCGTGCGTGCCATGCCGCACGTCCAGCGCGCCGACATTGATTTTGAGAAGCGACACCTCATCGTCCACAGCATCGACGGCAACACGAGTTCTTTTCTGCAGTGTATCGAAGTGATCGGGTTCTCAGCCTCGAAAATTTCCATGATGCCAGTGCCACCCCGCGTCCGGTACATGCCAGTTGTGAGAGAAATGAGATGCTGACAGGCTCGCTCGTGTAGGTACTCGGTGGAGCTCACGCACGGCCAGTTCATCACGTTTGGCCAAACCGGTGTCTTGCTGCAGTCGATCTTGGAGCACATTGAAGGCGTCGAGCAGATCGTGCTGCTCCTCGATCAAAAACCAAGCGAAGTCATTCTCGTCGGCATGTTTGATGCCAACGAAGTCGCGGTCGTATCGACAACGTACGGCCTCACGCTCACACCGATGCTCCAAGCGCGGCGCAACTCGGTCGACGACGACAACCACGTGTGTGACTTTGGCTGCGGTGAGAACGGGTGTCCGAAGTACCGCACGACTATGGCGCACACGGCCGCGCTCGCCGTCGGCTGGTCTGTGCCCGGCTGCGGCATGACGTTTGGCCGCGAGTGCACCTGCGGCGACGCCTGTCGGTGTGCCGGGTGTCCGAAACACAACCCCGGCACCGGCACGTTAGGCCCGGCAATGCTCTAACTTAGAATCCTTCTCTTTGCTCTCGTCGTTGTGTTGTGAGTGTCGGGATGTCGTGGGACCGGTGATGACCATAGGTAATGGTGCGAGGTGATGGGCCAGGACGACAGCTAATGTGTCGCTCGGTCGACCGCGCGTCCTGAGAATTCAAGAAGACGCCGCATTGACGAGCCGCGATTCGCGCTGGGTTCCGCTACGCCCAAGATAAAATGCGTGCATTGGCATGGAAGCCATCGCATGTAGGGGTATTGCCCACGACGCTTCTTGCAAACCCCTTACCCACCGAGTGGAGCCGAGGCTCGTCGCACCGGTGGTGATTGACGTGGGACGTGTCGTTTTGGTGCGGAGAGAAGGGGCATTTCAGAAACGCGGCGCGTGGGACAGAGCTCAGCTTGTTTCGGAAAGTAGCGCCAACGGCGACATCGCTAGCCACCACCCACCGTGCCTCGCCCGTTAAGCGTGTCGTGGTCTTTGGCGACCGTCATTTCCTCTTTGGCTTGGATTCGGCTCACCATGGACGTGGTGCTTGTGAACCAGACGTCGGTCGCCACGCTCGACGGCATGCTGCACCTGGACGAAGCGGACGTGCTCGCTTTGGGGGGCACGGTCGCCCAGTTTACCGCCGCCCTGGTGCGCAAGGCACGTCTGTCGCCTCGGACCGAAGCGCACCTGAAGATGTACGGCGTCTGCCTTCCGCGATCCGCTGCTGTGGCGCCGTATGAGCCCACACTTCGCACGCAGACGGCGCGCTGGGTGCTTGCCTTTAGCGTGCCAACGGCTACATCGATGCAGTTGTTTGTCAAGACGATGTCGGGCTACACGGTGACGGTGAATGCGACGCCAGCGCACTCGGTGGCCCAGCTCAAGCGCCACCTCGCGCGCAAGATTGGCAGCGGCTACGTCGTCGATCGACTCTGCTACTGCAGCCGGGAGCTCCGGGACGCGGCGACCGTCGGCGACTATGGACTGCCGCAATTCGCGACGCTGACGGAGCTGCCGCGCCTGCGCGGGGGCAGCGTCGGATGTCTTTCAACGTCGGTCCTCGAGTCGCGCCCATTTGTCAACCTGGGCGACAATAAGCTCTTGGAGACGGTCGAGTTTGCAACGACGGCGCCGACGTGGCACCAGTGCAGCACGGGCCTCAACATTCACGGTGTGTGCTTGACGCGAACGTGCCCCGCCTACGACATGTGGGTAATTGTGCCCCAGGGCATGCAGCCCTTCAACTTGCTCGTGCACCAAGCCAAGTGCCCGATGTGTGACGCACCTGTAGAGGCGGTCACGTGCGGCTTCCACGACTGTCGCTGGCGGTTTGAGGGTATTGCAGCGGCGACCAAGATGCACATGAGCAGCGAGTGGGCCGAGGCGGCGGGCGGGCGCTACCACCAGTTTTCCCACTGCGTGGACGACATTGTGCAGTGGCAGAGCCTCGTGCTCATCGCCAAGCCGCTCGACAAGGCCGACGACTGCGCCGTGTGCTGCGAACCGCTTGCGGTCGGGGCGACGCGCAAGCTGCCGCGCTGCAAGCACACGTTTCACGTTGGCTGTGCGACCGAGTGGGCACGCATGTGTGCGTTGCGGAACCGCCGCCCGAGCTGCCCGAGCTGCCGCACCGCCTACGTCAAGTAGGTAAGACCAGGAGGTGGACGACGCAAGGTTCGTCGAACGCCGGTTTATATCAATGTTTTTTAATTGAAGTCCATACGAGGAAGTATGTGGTCGTGTTGACGAGGTGCGTCCTCAATGTGAGACGGAGTAGGTAGTCGCGGAGCGCGCGAAGTTGTGTTTCTGATCGAGACCAACCTGAACGATTGTCCGAACAGCGATTTTCGCTTCTCACGGCCAAAAACTGAACTCCAAGCCCATTTTGAAGCCGTGCTTCGTGCTTGAACTCCTACGTAGTTAATGTTCCGACACCCTTCTTGGGCAGCAGTGGCTCTACATACGACGCTCGTTCTTCCCCCAATGTGCGTGTGTTGGATCCGGCGAATGTCATACGGTGTACTCGTACATACATCGGGCGAGGCCCTTCTTGCCAGCATCCGCGAACGACGAATAAGCTGAAGAACAGCATGATGGAATATGATTCAAAAGACGATAGGGCGTCTTGGTGCTGCGGTGATGAAGCTTTGAGATTATGCGTTATGCAAGGCACGTTGACGCTGCAACTGTAGCAGTCGTAACCATGTATGGTATTGAAGTGTCGAGGCTCTGGTGCCCGATCTATTGATCGAGTCCATCACCCCTGTCCCACGAGAGAATAGACCGTTGGCGCGTCGCTTTTTTGTGAGCCTTTGTCTTTGGTCAACGGCTGGCGAGCAGAGTCTAATTCGTGCCGGCGTTGCGAGATGGACGTGCTTTGCGTCGACGGTGCCGCGAAGCGCATCCATCGCACGGTCTCGCTGCCGCCCGAGACGCTAGGTACCATTCGGACAGTCGGTGACGTTGCGCAACACCTCGAAGCGTCTCTGAGCCTTGGCTCCGGCACGTTGTCGGCGCTCAAGCTGTATGGTCAGAGCTTGCACGCGACCGAGTCGCTGCACCCGTACCTCCCGGCCCTTCGCACGAGCAGCCCGCGCTGGGTGTTTGTGTTTGCTTCGTCGCCAGCGTCCTTGACGCTTTTCGTTGCGCTTCCAACGGGCCACTTGAGTCTCCAGGCGCATCCGGACGAGACGATCGCAGCGCTCAAGGCCCGGATCCGCGCGGTCTCCCGCTGCCCGTTTCAGCGCCTGACGCTGCGCCGCCGCACGCTCTTGGACCTGCGCACGGTCGGCAGCTATGATCTGTGCAACGACATGACGCTGGTGGCCGAGCTCTCGTTGCGCGGTGGCGGCGCCGCGGCCGAGTTTGTCGACGTGTCCAACGAGGCGCTGTGCAGCGCGCTGCTGCAGAGCCCGTCGGCGCCGGCGTGGCGGCGCTTTTGCACGGGCTTGAACGTCCATGGCGTCTGTACCAACACGACGTGCGTGGCGAACCGCGAGTGGGTCATTGTGCCTCGAAAGTTTGCGCCGTTCAACTTGCTCCAGCACCAAGTGGCGTGCCCGATGTGCGCCTCGTGGGTCGTGCCCCGCAGTGTAGGCTTCTTTAAGTGCCTCTGGCGCTTTGAAGGCGTGCAGCATCCATCGCGCATGCATTTGAGCAGTCCGTGGGCAGTCGTTGATGGCGACGAGTATGTCGCGTTTGACGAGAAGAGTCGGCGGGTGCCCTGGCTCAGCCTTGTCTTTTCCGTGCGACGCAACGACGGCAGTGACGAGTGCGCCGTGTGCTGCGAAGCTCTGTGCGCGGGACCCACGGAACGCGTCCAGCCCTGTCGCCACGAGATCCACACGGCGTGTCTGGCGGAATGGAAGGCGTCCTGCACCCGCCGGGAAGCGGTTGTTAACTGCCCCACGTGCCGCGCCGTGCTCTAGGGCGACGATTTATGGATGTGAACAAGTTGCCTGCTTGCAGCTGGACTTGAAACCGAGCATGTGACTAGCCGTCTAAAGTCGAGAACCTGTTGTGTGCATACTTTGTCCAACTTGAATCAAGTCGTTTTCCCGTTATTGGCAGCACCGCGCAATGCTGCGTATTCGTAGTTTAATGTAAAACGCCAAGCGACACTTCAAAATGCGTCCTGTTCCAAAATCGGTCACTGCGACGGCGGAACGTACGTCGGAATGTCAAACTTTTGGCTCAGCACGATGAACGACGCGACGACGTTGAGAATGTTTTGCGCGCGGCGGACGTTGTCGCCCTTGTAGTCGGCGATCGTTTGCTCGACGAACGCCCAGTTCATCCAGCCGAGGTTCTCGACGGCCTCGCGCGTGATGTGGTGGCTCAGGAACTGCCATTGGACGCAGTCCGGGTCAAACTGGGCAGGCGGTGCAAAGAACGGCTTCTTGGCAATCGTGTAGAGCTCATCTGTGATAAACGGACGCATGGCTTGGCGCAAAATCCACTTTTCAGTGATTTTGCCCGTCATCGGGTCAACGTGGAGCTTCACTTGGGGCGGCAAGGCATTGACGTACGTCGTGAGCCGGTGGTCCAAGAACGGCACGCGGCCCTCGATCGAGTGCGCCATTTCGCTCCGGTCGCCGAGCTGGTTGCAGAGCATGTTGGGCAGCACACAGCGCGTCTCGAGGCACAACGCGGTGTGCAGCGGGTGCCACGTGGTTGCTGCGAGCTTGCGCTCCTCGGCGGAAAGCACGGCGGCAAACGCTTGCGTCGGGTTCGAGATCGCGTTGAGTGGAGCCTTGTACAAATCCGCGGGCAGCCCCGCGATCGTCGCCAGCATACGATGGATGCTGAGACCGCTCAGAAGCGCGCGCTCCTTGCCGCAGTCCGTGTACGAAAATTGGAGACTTCCGACGCCGCTCCACATCTTTTCATCGGCCGACTCGATCGTCGCGAGGATCTTCTCCCTCATCGGGCGCGGGATCGCGGGCGGCGCCGTGTCCATGCGGAAGAGATCGGGGTAGAACATGGTGTAGCCGGCAAAATGCTCGTCCGAACCCTCGCCTAGACCACGCATAAGCCATCGTTGTCATCCAAGAAGCACAATGCCATCACAGACCGGTGAGCACAACCTTGTAGCCCGCGTCGCGGACGTAACGAGAGAGCAAGAACTTGGCCGCGCCGTTAAAGTCGTTCATTGCGGCCTCCCAGTGCCACACGGCGTCTTCGAAGGCACCGGTGAGATCCTCTTGCGTGATGTGGAGCACGTGCGAGTTGGCTTGCACAAACTCGGCCGTACGTGCCGCGACGTCGCTCTCATCGTACTTGACGCCATCGATTTCCTAATGTACGCACAAAGGCAATGTGAGGTGTATCTGTCACAATGACGCAACGCTATAGATAGGTGACGAGGTCACGTCATCGCACCTTGTCCGAGAACGCGATCGTAAAGACGTCCATGCGTGCATCAGGATCGGTCTCGCGCAAGATGCTCGAGGCAACACCAAGAACCGCAGACGAGTCAATGCCGCCGCTAGGGACAAAGATTAGATGCAGCATCTACTGAGAGATGCACCTGAGGTAGACGGCCACGGGTACATCGCTGCGGAGTCGCGCGCGCACGGCGTCGACGAGGCGCGTCCGGACGCCATCGACCATTTCGTCGATCGAGCGCGGATCCTCGATGTTGCGGTCGGGGAACGACGGGCTAAAGTAGCGCTCGAGCTTGATGGAACCGGACGGCGTCGCCGAGAGAATTTGCCCCGGCGGGATCTTGGAAACGCCCTTGAAAATCGTGCGGTCGTCCGCATAGTGCCCACTGTTGACGATCGAGTGGACGTCCCATTGCGGCTGCCACCCAAGTCCAAGAAACGCCTTGGTCTCGCTCGCAATCACGAGTTTGTTGTCAAACTGCGTGTAGAAGAGAGGCTTGATCCCGTGCCGGTCGCGACCAACCAAAAGCCGCTGCAAGTTGGCGTCCCAGAGCACAAAGGCAAACTCGCCAAGGAGGTGGTCGACGCAGTTGACGCCATACTCATTGTAGAGATGCACGAGGATCTCCGAGTCGCTTTGCGTTGAAAAGACGTGACCGCGCGCGCAGAGGTCGTCGCGAATCGCTTCAAACTCGTAGAACTCGCCATTCACGACCGCGTGCACACCGCCCGCATGCAGCGGCTGCTGACCGTGCGCCACATCCATGATCGAGAGACGCACGTGCCCAAGACCAACGGACGCGTCATGCCAAACGCCTTGACCGTCGGGCCCGCGGTGGTGGAGCAGGTCGAGAGCAGCGGTCAAGTCCACGGGAGCGGTTCCGCCGTTCAGGTCCAAGTAGGCTACGATACCACACATGGCGAACAAACGCAAAAGTAAAAGTGAGCAGAGTAGCGATGAAATACGAGTCGAAGGTAGGTGGCGGGTGCGATTACTGTAGCGACTGTCGTTACGCACTGCCAGGATATCCATGGCATCGACCAACGCACCAACGGCAACGACGCGGCCCGTTGAAGCTCCCAGTTGCCACCCCATGATGATTGTATATATGGTGTGGCGTTGTTCTACCGGTAACAACAAGCACGGTTTGTGCGGGCACGAGTACCGTGGAGACACTTCGATCCACTGAGACTCATCGTTTGGCTGAGATCGACCAAGATCGTCGGCCGAAAACATATGATTTCAATGCACGCAGCTCGTGTGGTAGAGCTTGGTGAGGTTGGTTTTTGCTTCTCAGCGCCTTGGGTTTTGATGGCAGTGTCGCCAGATAGCATCAATGCGGCCATCGGTAATGACGGGTTTAGTATAACGGCTCTACGGCTCTGCGCCCACGCCCACGGTGCACGTTTTCTGCTTGAAGCACGCCCACACCAGCGTGCTGCATCGTGTGTCGCATGTGTCGCAAGCTAGAACACCGTGTCATCAACAATACCGTACAATTGTACATAAGTGACCGCAGCACAAGAGCTCTGGCGGGCAGTCAGTCGACTTGACGGTTATGGCTGCGACAGC